TCTGAGAACTTCTTCTTAAGCACTGCCACAGGCATCCTTGAAAAGATGAGCAGAACATGTACTTATTTAGATTAACAGCTAAGGCAATCCGAATTCCTTCCTATGCTGTTGTTTATTTGACTCATGACACGCCACTCACCTTTTCATGACCAGGTTTAGGAGGTAGGCAACAGCTGCCAGAGATTCACTGCTGTCTACAGCTTCGAGTGTTGTCATCTGCCAATTGAAAAATGCAAAATGAAAAGACATTCATAGATTGATCCACAGAAAGTGCACTTTTAAGCATTTCGACACAACCAAGTCGGTATGAAACAAATTGATTTCATGGTGACTTTAATTTACCAAGGCTGCAAAGTACTCCGTCTCTGTCTCCTTTCCTCCCTGAGACCGAATCACTTCGGTTACAGCCGCCAATACAGCACAGATCTGTAGAAAATGAAGACATTCATTATACATGATGTGGTTTCAACTTAAAGGAATATTATAAAAATATAAATAAGTAAATTCCTCTCCCTTAGGCAATCCAAAATGTAGATAAGTTTTTCTTCATCAGAACAGATTTAGAGAAATGTAGTATTAAATCACTTGCTCACCAATGGATTCTCTGCAGTGAATGGGTGCTGTCAGAATGAGTCCAAACAGCTGACAAAAACATCACAATAATCCACATGACTCCACTTCATGTTTGTAATAAACAAATAGATCAAGACGTTTTTTAACTAAAAAAAATATTGCTTCCGGCTAAAATATTGCGTTAGTGAAAAGGTAATCTCGCCTGAATCAAGACAGAAGTATGCACAGATGAAGCACTGTTTAAAAGCAACAATTTTTGATGTGAGAGGACAACGGGGAACGGACCTTTTCACTGAAGGAAACATTATTATGGATTATGGATAGGTAGGTCAGAAGTGAATGTTTAAAGATAATGCCTTAATAATGGATTTTTTTCTTACTAACATGCAGATTTTCACTTCATAAGAAGTTAATGGATAGACTGGAGTTGTGTGTATTAATTGTGGATTATTGTGATATTTTTAGCAGCGGTTTGAACTCATTTTAACGGCACCCATTCATTCATTCACCCACTGGTGAGCAAGTGATGTAATGCGAAATTTCTCCAAATCTGTTGAAATGAAGAAACAAACTCATCTACATCTTGAATGGCCCGAGGGCAAGTAAATTCAGCAATTTCATTTTTGGGTGAACTTTTCCTTTAACAATATTCTAGTAATAATAGCTTATGGTGCAGCTCTCTGGCCATCAAACTGAATACAAACCTCTTTATGTGCTGCAGAGTTTGACTCCCAGTAGCGCTGTACTTTTCTAAAAGTGAGGTTGGAGCAGTCCGACAGTCCACTAAGAAAAGTCCCAGAGGTTTTCTCTGTCAGGGCTTTATCTTCCATGGCATCTCCTGCTTCCATGGCATCGCTGCTTCTCTGCAGAGATCCTGCCTGAAGCTCATTGTGGAGTTTCAAGGCATCTACTGTCAGATCACTTTTTTCTGTTTAAATATAGACAGAGGTCTGGTGAATCTCAAGTTCACATCAACCAGACCAGCTAAACACATTGTTATGACATACTAGTCACGAATACAGTCAAAACATCGGCAGTCCAACTAACTGTCTGAAATTAAAAAGACACTATGATTTAAACTACTCTTCAATAAACCCGAAATTAAATTAGTCGTCGCCCTCCAAATTAGGGTTGGGTATTGTTTGGGTTTTTTTCGATACCAGTGCCAAATCGATACTTTTAAAACAGTTCCGGTGCCTGAACCAATACGTATTAAAGAATAGAGAATGCTAGTGTTAGAGGCTCTTTTTTCTTTATAAATAAAACGAGTAGTTAGAATAGAAATAGAATAGGGAGTGCAAATGTTAGAGGATTAAGTTTTTTAATAAAAAAAAAAACAAGCAGATAAAATTAGAAGTAGCATTAGAATAGAGAGTGCTAGAGTTAGAGGGTCAAATGAAGATGAAAGAGATGTGTTTTCAGCCGTTTCTTGAAAATATGAAGGACTCATCTGCTTAGATTGAGCTGGGCAGGTCATTCCACCAGGAGGGAACAGTTAATGTAGAAGTCCATGAAAGTTTTATCATAGGTAGAATGCAAAATGTTTCAATACAAGCATTTCAGTCAAATGTAATTTATGCAATATTTCAAACCTTTAACCCACT